GACAAAGTGTTTAGTATAGCGAGCGTTAATTTCTACTCTTTTTAACGCAATATATATTTTGTTTACAAATTGTGAATAAACTTTTAACAAAAACTATTAATTGTATGCAAACATTACACAATTCATTAAAATTATTTTAAATTTAATTTTAAAAAGATATAAATAAATAAATATCATAAATAAAATTTTTGTTATAAATAGTGTACAATATTTCAATTAGTTTTGTATTTTAAGAGTTATTTTCAATTTCATTAAAATTGAGAAATTCTTTACAATTCAGTTTTTTTAATCAAATCCTATCGATTCATATACAGAATAATAGAATACATTTATTGCAAAACTATTGAAAATGACATGGTTGACCAAGATTGCGCAAGTTTTCATGCACAAAATACTGTATTCTGTTTGCAGTGCTATCCTTTGTTGATATATTTATTTACAAAACATATATCAATAATATTATATTGAATTACAATTATTTGTGCAAAAATATACATTTATTAAAATAAGTTACTAATTTTAATCAATTGCAATTAAGTAATTGCTATTATTCTATAAAAATATCTTGATATTTATTTCTATAACTTTTCAAGTTTTACTTATTGTATGTAATTATGAATTATGAACCATTTTATTGTACTGATTGAATATTAATTTAATACTAAATTTATATTATGAACATGTTTTCACTGGATGTTACCATTTATTTAATTATAAGATTTAAATTTACTTTAAAATACTTTACGCATGTTTAAAAATTATAAAGTAATCTGCTTGCTGTTATCTATTATTCATACTACATATTAATATATACTGCCTGTAGTTTGTAGTTGTTGCACCAAAATGTAGCGATAATTAGTACCCAACCACTACTCATTGGATCTTTCAGTTAATCAATTAATTTAATTTTATTTCATTAGAAAATAATACAATCAATAATATTAATTTATTATTAAATTTGTGGTGCAATTCAGTACATAATAGGTATAACAATACTTCAGTGAATCTCTTATATTGGTTCACAAAACGTGAACAATAACTGATATATTTTATTAGTGTTGCGTAATTATAGACTTATTTTACATGATTTGTGATTAAAATGACCATGAAGTAATTTTAGTGTATACACACATTTTTTATTTGCCAGTTGTTGTAATACAATTCAGTAAATACTATATATAAGGTAAATGTTTTGTATTTATTTCAAATGACAATTATATTTGTAATTTATACAAATTAATTAATTATAATAACAATTTCTCATTCAATGAATAGCAGAATAATGTCTGTCATAACAAAACCCAATTATATCGTCCGTTGTATCCGACCGTTAGATTTTGAAGAAGTCAGAGATATCTGGACTGCAACTGGTTTTGCGATTCATAAATACGCCAACGATGTTATGATCAAAGCTGATCCCAAAGGCATATTTGTGGCCGAAGACACCGATACAGGTATTCATTACATACAGTTAATTAAACAATGTTATAAAAATGTTAACATTTAAAGGCAAACTATTGGGATATGTGGCCGCCGTTAACCTAACCGATGACTTTTCATTCATTGGCGGATATTGTGTTCGTCCGGAATATAGGGGACACGGAATCGGACAAAGCATATGGAATACAGGAATGGCACACATGGGGGACAGGAATGTCGGAGAATTTGCGTTCACTTACAAAATGTTTGAGATATACAGGGATTTCCATAACTTCAAGTGTATTCCCGATAGACATGCCGTACACTTCAGAGGACCGTATGAACCGAGTAAAGACATAATTGACAAAATCGATGGCATTTCGTTGGTGCCCATCAATGAGACCAATCTTCGGGCTGTGATTGAATACGACAAAGACATGTATGGCTTTGATAGAGGCGTTTATATCAAAGGACTCTCTAAGAGTCCCGAAAGTGTCAATTTAGTGGCGATTAATGAGAAAAATCAAGTGTTGGGCTATTGTATTGTCTTAGCCCTAACTTTTGGCGTAACAGGTA